TGCTGAGTCCTTTATGTAAAAATCACCTTGGATTCCTCTTCACCATGCTCTTTTGATAACCGTTCCTTGTAGTGCTGATGATATTCTTCGATAAGCAGCGCCGCTAATATATACATTTTCTTCAGACGAAGGCACGGAGCTGCTTTCTTGCGTTCCTCCTCCGCCATCTGCAAGGAAACTTTACTGACAAGGGAAGGATACTTAATTGAAGTGGCGATTCGAAAACAGTTGCGTGCTGGCAGATACAGTCTTAGACGCTGGTTTTAAATCGGCCTTCCATATCTGCGCAGTTTCTCTGGGAGAAGTTATGAAAGTTTTTCTATGCTAAAATTAGTCTGTGCGCCTTGCTAATAATTGCCCTACAACATCAAGTTCAACCAGAAACACCAAGCAAATGGTTTTTCTACAACGAATATATGTTTTCATAAATATTCAGCCTTTGCGCTGCTGTTGTGGGTCAACTTGGAACTTTTGCGCAATTTCATCCAGGTCTTGTAAGCCAATTTTGATAGAGAGAACCTCCATAACTTCTTCCAGAAAAGCGGTTCGCAAACATGGAAGGCAGATTTAGAGTCAGCGTTTGAAGTTACACTTAACAGTGTTTATCTCATTTTAGATCCACTCGACTAGGTATCCTTCCTTTGTGAGATAAAAAGGCTGCAGTTGCAACTGAAAATCAGGTATAAAGCGCCTTTTCAATTTTTCGCAGCGCGTGAATTCTCCAAAGTAAGTAGCTGGTGATCCTGTATGTAATTTGTTGGACAAATTCGATTTATATAGCTAAAATATCACAATGAGACTTAATATCTTGAAACACTGGGAATATTCAAGCTTTGGCTGCTTATCTAAACTTATCAGAAGTTCCGATAATAATCAAAGGATCAAAGTTTTTCTTTATGCTTCAGCAAAGTTGCACACGCTTTTCTTGTTGAGATACATAAAAACCTCCCTTGTTTGTTTTTTCTTACTTTTTTATTCCGAATGAGTAACAATAATATATCGAAAATTAGATTGAAAATCATATGAAATACCTTGTCGAAAGTTTATCCCAGTGGCACCAATTGTTTTTCCTCAAGGGAAATTTTCAACAAATGAAGGAGTTTATGACAAAAGTTAGCAAGTATTAATTTAACTCACCCTGTACACAATCCGTGCCCCATCCAAATACCTTCGAGCTCTTCTGTATAGTTGGACAGCAGCTAAGGATCTCTCGCTGCTTTCGTTGAGTTCTTCGAGATATTTCCCCATTAAGACGTTTACATCTTCAAGACTATGAGTTCGAGAAAGCGATACTGCCTGTGGAAAATTTGTTGCTCATTTCTAAGTGGAGGTAGACTGAAATCTTCGGCGAACCTTATCCCAATTGTTGAGCTGTACGCAAGTCTGGAGTGCGTTTGCAACCTGGTCACATCTGAGGAAGCATTGGACTGCCTGCTCACAAAGGCCCGATGATGCAAATAACTCAGCAATAGTCTATAATGAGTCAGAATAATTTGTCAAAACCTTATTATTTAATCACCTGCAAAGCTTACTGCTAAAAGAGGATGGTTATCAGGAAGTTGTCTGGCCAAATTCTCGAGGCTAGCAAAGTCATCCAAATGGATATAGCAGACCACAAGTTGCTCCAGCTTTTTTGCTAATGCATAATGGTCAGCAGCTTCCTTCCTAAACATTCGCTCTGCTTGTCTCATCTTTTTGTATAAAAAAATTGCTGACCATCTCTGTCTATCCTTGTGGTAGTCAGCCACATTTACTAGTGCTTCAATCTTTGCTTTGTCACTTGATGCACCTTGAATAGTGGTTGACAGTCGTAGTACACGCAACCATTCCTCCGTTTGCTTGTGCATAGCGATGGCCAAATCCCTAAAAAATAGGCATCTGATAACGTTTTTATTTTTTTGGGACATAAACTTTTGGAAAGGTACATGCTAACAGTATTGTTAATCTTGCCTTGTTTATTTTTCTAAATAGTTTCCTATACATTCAGCTGGATATCGTATGCGACTACAGTTTTTACAAAACCTAACATTACCTTCGATCCTGATCCAGGTAAATCTTCTCAGCATCAGCTATTCTTCCCAAATGGACATAAATTTCTGCTTTTTTCAACTCCGGCTCCTAAACGTCATGTATATAGCCAGGAAAAAAATGTGAAAAGACTTTTGCGCCAGCTTGATCTCTGATGTCAGTAGAAGCATTTTGAGTTTATCTAATCAAGATTTAAAAAATTGCTACATAATACCGAATCAGCTTGAGCAAATGAACCTACTGTGGATATTAAATGGAACTTAGGAGAGAATGAAGGTCAAGAATGAAACAAATCTATACCTGAATTTCGACGATTCTTTTGCAGAAACGTAATCCACTGTAGTCGTGCAATTTTGCCTAAAATATCAATTTTGTAGCATTATACGTTTAAGTAGAAATTTGTAAGAATTACTCACA